GGAGGAGGATATTAATTATTGTCCAGAGGCTTATTGAAACAAACAATTAAATGAAAGTTTCCTGGGAACCACTGGACTGTAAACTCCATGAGGACATGGTGTTTGTCTTGGTTGTTTGCCATTTAATTTCCAGCACACATAGTAGGTGTGTAATAAGTATTTGTTAACTGGATCTATTGAATGATAAGAACAGAAATTAGCATAATCTAAGTCTTAAATTAGGAATTTGGTTAACTTTCATTCTACTGATTATTTTATCTCCTGTTCCCACCTCTTTCCCCCCATTTTTTTTTTTTAAAAGAGAGCAGCTCTAAGAATATAATGTGCTGTATCTGCAGAAGTGACTATTGATTTCCAGACTGACAAGGCTGGGATCTTACAGGTGGTGTAAAGCTGCTATTTGCAAATTTTAGTAAATGAATTGATTGCACTTCAGAATCACATGATGTACATTATGAAGTATAATTTCTAGGCCTTGGCCCTGGAATTTCTGACTGAGTCAGTGTTAGGGGTTGGGAGTCTGTGTTTGCTTTAGTGGATTTCCCTAGTAATTCTAGTGTGTAGTGGGGGTGTAGAAAGTGCCAGTGTGCCTTGTAGTCCTTAGTCTGCCTTCTAAATTACTCTTTGGTAAAGTGATCAGCCACAGGCACCCAGCAGTCCGATAACAGCATTCCTGGCTCTGCAGGTGGCCGATAGTTGGCATTCTCCCAAGACTCTTAAGTGTTTCTTCCTTCAAGATAATACCAGTGTATGTGGTGATGGCCCAGTAGAATCTGAAGGACTTCTGAGTCTTTCAGAAAACATTAACTTTTGTTCAGTCTACTTTGGTGTTAATATAGTTTATTGCATTCTCTAGTGGTCATTTGTTTACCCCCCTCCCCAGAACAAATCCCAAGTAGGAAGCTCCTGCCTGTCTCCTCTAAGCCTGCTCAGTGCCCAGCATTTCCCAGCCTTGACTGATCATAAGGGAATCACATGAGCATAGAACACAGAGAGCATAGTTAAAGGCATAGAACTCTGGGAGTTCTAGGATCCTGTTAAGCCAAGGGCCTGGATTCCTGTATTTTACATTTCCTTTGTCATTATTCTCTCCAAACTACTTTCCAGTATCCAAGAACCGAAGATTTAGACCTTTCCTCTGGATCTAGCTGTGGATGGAAATAACCAAGCTCTGTAGGAATAATAATACGGTTTATTCCAAGTGCAAATATGAGAGATCATCCTGGAGAATAAAAAAGTGTTTTTGAGGTGCTCAGATGAGCAGGTTTAAAAAAATTCAGTTCTGAGAGCAGGAGACACAGACCAAGTTGCAAATCAGCCTAAGGAGTTTACACTGGCCTGGCTCCCAAAGGCAGGACATCTGGATGCGGGGACTTGTAGGTTATAGGTGAGTTTAGAATTTTTAGGTTAGTAATTGGCTAAACGCGTAAGTTTTTGTTTCCAAAAGACTTAGAATAATAATAATAAAAAAAAAGCTCAGTTTAGCTTTAACAGAGATAAGTTGACTTCACTATGTGTCTTATAATGCTATGCCCAGGACAGGATGAAGGGAGCATCCCATAGTCTCTGGAGTCAAGCTGTCTGTTACAGCAAGATTCATGTTTGTCACTGTGACTCCCCAGATCCCTTAGAAAGTAACATAGGCTAGAAGATGCCATTAGGATTCCGTCCTCACAGCACTGATGCCTTAAGAACCTAGGTCATAGGTATGTCATATCCCTGCCTTTTCATCTAAGAGTTTACCCTCTGTCTACAGAACTTGTCTTTGAAGGAGGAAAGGAATTTCTGCTTTCTGTTTTCCTCCAAAGTAGAATTTTACCAGACAAAGTGAGTAGTGAAAGAAGCCAAAATATTTCTCCCTGCTGTTGAGGTTTGCTGAGCAGTTAGTAAGAAAGCCTCTTCTTTTCCCTATCTGCCTGAGAGAAGGCCACAAATCCCCACCTGCTGGAGACAGCTAGATTACCAGCTCAGGATGGTGCACCAGGCTAGAGGAACTTGGAAATAAAACTCTGATCTTCTCAGAGTTTCCTTGCCTTTTAGGAGCAGAGAATGACTTAGTCTTTGGTCCTGTGCTTCTAAATGTATTGTTCTTTGTTGCACATGCTATTTAAGCAAGGCTGAGAAATACTTTTAAACTGAGATCTCTTCCCTGTGATGGGCATGACAAATGTTAAAATAAATTTTAGAGTTTTCTCTTATTAGTCTGAATTTTGTTTTCAGGAAAGTATCTCAACTGAGAAATTATAAGGGTTGAGAAAATAAATACTATTTCCTGCTTTCTACAGGTAGGCAGAGTGGCATGTCCTGTAGAGGGATGACTGAGCGCTGCGTGAAGGTTAGGGTGGCCTCTGAAACTGAGGAGGGGATCTGTGCTCTTCCCTTGGCTTTGCTACTTAGCAGCATGGGCAAATTATTTAAACCTCTCTAAGTTTCTGTCTTAAGAGGAGAATGGGGGTAAGAATAGCATTGTTTTGGGCATTTTATGTATGAAGGTGTCCTCAGTTGCTCTCCTGACTGAGACTCAGAGATAAGAGATTTGCATGCTGAGGGGAATGGAGAGGGTTTTGGGTGACAGCTCCTGTGAGGGAGTGAGGGAAGCAGGCGGGGGAGAAGGCTGCCATGCAGTTGCAGAGGAGGTCTCAGCTGATCCCATGAGGGATGCATTGGGGGTGGCATGCCTGTGGAGTTGTCACAAATTGGGGAAGGGGACCGGGCATTTATACCCCCATGCCCACCAGTCACTGGGTGTGAGCTGTCCCTGGGGAGGGGAAGATGGCCTCAGGTGAGGCAGCTCCCTTTGGCTGAGGGTGGTTATGTGTCAGCAGCTTCCTACAGTCCTAGAGCATGGGGAGAGGAGGGCTTCAGTCCTAGGGGGACCTCAGTGGTGGACCACAGCATGCACTCCACAAGGTAGTATGTATGAAACCTTAGCAGCCAATCTGTTAGGTCATTGGGAAATTCAGTAGTGAAAGAAGCCAAAATATTTCTCCCTGCTGTTGAGGTTTGCTGAGCAGTTAGTAAGAAAGCCTCTTCTTTTCCCTATCTGCCTGAGAGAAGGCCACAAATCCCCACCTGCTGGAGACAGCTAGATTACCAGCTCAGGATGGTGCACCAGGCTAGAGGAACTTGGAAATAAAACTCTGATCTTCTCAGAGTTTCCTTGCCTTTTAGGAGCAGAGAATGACTTAGTCTTTGGTCCTGTGCTTCTAAATGTATTGTTCTTTGTTGCACATGCTATTTAAGCAAGGCTGAGAAATACTTTTAAACTGAGATCTCTTCCCTGTGATGGGCATGACAAATGTTAAAATAAATTTTAGAGTTTTCTCTTATTAGTCTGAATTTTGTTTTCAGGAAAGTATCTCAACTGAGAAATTATAAGGGTTGAGAAAATAAATACTATTTCCTGCTTTCTACAGGTAGGCAGAGTGGCATGTCCTGTAGAGGGATGACTGAGCGCTGCGTGAAGGTTAGGGTGGCCTCTGAAACTGAGGAGGGGATCTGTGCTCTTCCCTTGGCTTTGCTACTTAGCAGCATGGGCAAATTATTTAAACCTCTCTAAGTTTCTGTCTTAAGAGGAGAATGGGGGTAAGAATAGCATTGTTTTGGGCATTTTATGTATGAAGGTGTCCTCAGTTGCTCTCCTGACTGAGACTCAGAGATAAGAGATTTGCATGCTGAGGGGAATGGAGAGGGTTTTGGGTGACAGCTCCTGTGAGGGAGTGAGGGAAGCAGGCGGGGGAGAAGGCTGCCATGCAGTTGCAGAGGAGGTCTCAGCTGATCCCATGAGGGATGCATTGGGGGTGGCATGCCTGTGGAGTTGTCACAAATTGGGGAAGGGGACCGGGCATTTATACCCCCATGCCCACCAGTCACTGGGTGTGAGCTGTCCCTGGGGAGGGGAAGATGGCCTCAGGTGAGGCAGCTCCCTTTGGCTGAGGGTGGTTATGTGTCAGCAGCTTCCTACAGTCCTAGAGCATGGGGAGAGGAGGGCTTCAGTCCTAGGGGGACCTCAGTGGTGGACCACAGCATGCACTCCACAAGGTAGTATGTATGAAACCTTAGCAGCCAATCTGTTAGGTCATTGGGAAATTCATGATGTATTTTTCTATGCAAAAAAATGTCAATTAATATTAACTGTTGCGGTTTTCTTCTTCTCCTCTTTTCTGTCCTCCTCCTCTTTGTACTCCTCCTCCTCCATTTGCCAAAGGATATGTGTGCTTGCTGGAGAGACAGAGAGAGAGAGGGGGAGAGAAAGCAAGAAAGCATTCCCCATGGGGCATGGTTATACCCCATCTCTTCTACCTCTCCCTCCTTTCAAGATTTTGGGAATGCTTGCACACGTGCCTGACATCTTTTTCAAGCCACCAGGTCTGGAAATCCAACTGCAGTCACCTCTGTGGGATCCAGCCACCTTAACCACCAGGCCACAGACTGGTCCTCTTTTAGAAATTTGCCAGAAGGTGCATGTGCTAGCCAGAGAGAGAAAAGGGGAGAAAGAACCACCCCCATGGGATGTGGTCACACCACAATGCCTTCTCTCCATCTTTCTATCATGTTGGGATCCTGGGCACACATGCACAGCTGGGACTGGGATTCGAACCATGTGGTCAGAGATGTGGGCACTGGCTCCCTTAACCACTAGGCTACAGGGCTGTACCAAATGTCGCTATTTTCATTCTAACTCTGGCAAAGCCACTTAGTAGCTGGGCTACTTTCAAGGACTTCCTTCACTTCTCCTGGACTGTTTTCTTATGTTTAAAACGAAGATCCTAAATTTGTTCTGCCGACTTCCCTGAGGAGTTCTGAGTACATGTGGAGATAATGTATGTGAAATTGCTGAGTAAAATATTATAAAAATGTAAGGTATGATGAAGAACCTACTTTTCTGAATTGAATATATGGCCATGACCTGGATTCCTTGAAGGGAAAAATTTGTGATAAATGTAAAAGTGCTTGTCTGTGAAATACGGCATTTTGATTTCTCTTTCCTCTCTCTACAGGGAATTAGAATAATGGAGATGCTGCTAAAGGAACAGTGTGGTGCCCCCTTAGCAGAATAGAGACTCATCAGTGAGTACCAAAAGCAAAAGTCAGAATTATTTACTCAAGCCCTGTTTTCACGCTTATAAGCCTGCTATTACGCATCACCTTCTCTGGGCTATTCGCGCTGCACAGTTCCCGGCTATACGCACAGAATACTGTTTCACAGGTGTTTGTTATCTATTCAGTACCTTTATTTACCTGGTGCTTTGATTTTCAGAGTGGTTTTGTACTCCGTGCTGGGTTACAACTGCATTCAAGTTGTTAAAACTATTCAGCACTATCTCCCATGATTGAGACCCTCAAGGTACCATAGATTTGTAAAGACTACAGCTCAGGATTAACTGAAGCTTAATGTTATTATTCTGAGAACAATAAAAGGAGGAATTTGCAACTGTTACTAGAGCAGGAGAAAAATAAGAAGGGGCATGTTGATTGCTCAATGAAATAAATATCCCTTCTTGTTCCTGCACCACCACTGATTAGGGTGGCTGCCCAAAATGCTATTGAAAAGGATTCTGAGGGCTTGAAAATAATTCTCCGGTTCTGGGTAACAGTGCTCTGATTGATTAGCAATGTCTGCCATGGGTGCAGAATGGGAACAAGTCAGTGCTTGTGCTGTGGAGCACGTGCCACCTCTGGTTTAGGACAAATGGTGTAGGAGTAACAGATAAGGGAGGTTGTAGAACCTCAGCTCCCCCCACCCCCAGTTTATATCATCTGCTTCAAGGAGAATGGTTTTTATAGTGGAAAGGGCAGGGTAAAGTTATTTAAGAAAATGCCAGTGTCCTATATAAACATCCTACAAAATCTTTAGTACTTGGGTTTTCATCTGAGAGAAGGTAAAATCCTTTAGTAAAGCAAACATTGCATTGAGTAATTCAGAATTTCCTTAAATTTTCTTATGTTGGCTCAAGAGTACAGCACATATGGCTTCGTATAAACCTGTTATTCTATTGTGATATACAATAAAATTTAAAAGCAATTAACCAAAGAGGAAGCAAAAATGAAATTCATATACAAGTACCTCAGCGTTAAGTGTGTTGCCCAAACCTGAGAATGAACACCATTTGGAGACTCGTAAAGTGTTTCTGCTTATTTGCAGATTGGCCTCCCTTATAATTAATATTAAGCTGTTGTATACTTAACATATATTGATAGATTTAATTGTTACTGGAAACCTACAGAAGGTAGTTTTATCTAGCATGGGCATGGCACATGGCAGGTGCTCATAAAATGTTAGACTTGAATCTAAATATGGTTTACTCCTACATCCATCCTGTTCTTTAGAAAACGTGGAGAAGAACTGGGGCACATGTCTGTTTTTCTAGGCTGGCATATCTGTGACATGCACTAAGCACCCTTGTGCTTGTGAACTTGGACGGGGTTTCCACCTTCCCCTGGGGGTGGGATCAGAAGTCAACTGCAAGTTAAACGAGGGTCTCCACTTCTAGGGGAGAGGCACCTACCTATTGGTTCTCCAACTTCAAACAGTGGCTTCGAAGGTGTAGTGTGCTCTAGAACCATCTAGAGGAACTGTTAAACACAGCTTGGACGCCATTCCCAGAGTGCTGATGCAGGCCTGGGGTGGGCCTGAGGATTTGCTTGTGATCCTCTAATGGACTCCCAGGAGTGACAATACTGGTCGCAGGAACACACCTGAAGAACAGCTGCTTGAAATGAATTCAGAGCGCTGGGTGTGGACAGATTAAATGCTATGGCCCTGAAGAAACTAATAGCTAGGGTTTTGAAATTGTTCTCATGTATTCAGTCAACTTTAGATTAAATCAAAGCATGCTTTCCTTTGTATGACTGTTCCCTGATTTTAGTTTTCAGCCTCTCCTTGTTTGCCTTTGTTGTTGCTGATGCTTGAGTGCTGACAGGCTTCACACTAAAGCAAACACAACTGAAGAGAGAGGAGATGAGATGCACATCAACTTGTGTTTTAAATCAGTCTGGATTCAAAGCATTGCTAGTGAAGAGGAGTTAAAATTAAACAAGTTCACAGCATTACCTAATGTTTTAAATTACCCATGTTCTTTAAAAAAATTTTTTTAAGGTTTTTGCCAGGGGGTGCATGCACTCTCTAGAGAGACAGAGGGAGACAGTGACGGGGAAAGTAAAAAATCACTCCCTGGAGGGGGATAGCTACACCACAGTCCTCTCTCCTCCATACTCCCCCTGGGACGCTGAGGACACACACATGTATGCCTGGAATGAGTCTCAAGCCTCTGGGTCTGGGACTCGAACTGTGATCAGCCACATGGGAGTCAAGTGCCTTACCTACCACACCACCCGGTGGCCTCATTTAATATTTTTTTAAACTGTGATTGAGAAATGAACCCTAATCTCAAGGCTCTGTATTCTTTGTAAAACACACACACACACACACACACACACACACACACACACACACACAAAATAAACAAACAAAAAAACAAATCAAAAACCTACACTCCAAAGTCAAGTGCTGAGGTTGGGATACTGTCAGGAGTTTTTAGTACGGGACAATTGTATTCAGTGCAACAGAATTCCTGAAGGAGTTACATAACTCAGACTCTCAAAATTCATGACCAGTTTTCTCAGATGAGCAAATTTGAAGTAGGAGAGAGAGAGAGAGAGAGAGAGAGAGAGAGAGAGTGTGCGCACATGTGTGTGAGTGTATACATATATACATACACACACACATATATATACACATATACACACATATATACACAGTTACCAGAGATGTACAGTTACTATAAATTAAAGACTATTGCTGAGGCTTTAAGCTATATATATACACATATACACACATATATACACTCTTACCAGAGATGTATAGTTACTATAAATTAAAGACTATTGCCGAGGCTTTAAGCTTTTTTCAAAATCAGCTTCATTGAGGTACTATTTATATACAATTAAATTGACCAATTTGAAGTGTACCATTTGGTGAGTTTTGACAAATATGTGAAGTTATGTAAGCATCACTACAAATGTGATCTAGAATATTTTGAGACTTTGATGTCACAGCCATATTGCCAGCTTATTCTTTTCCTTTCCCTGCCCCCATTTCTTGACTGTTTTTTCAGTCTTGACATGTGTCTTTTTTTTTTTTTTTTTAAGTTTATTTATTTATTTATTCAGAGAGCAAGAGAGAGAATGGGGTAGGGGGCACCCAACAGGGTCAGGACACTATAGCCGGTGAGCCACATCAAGGCTGCTGCATGCTTTTGTAAGTAAAGTTTTATTGGAACACGGCTGTGTTCCTTACTATGGTCAAAGCTGTAATAGCAGAGGTGAATAGTTGGGACAGAGAACTTACAGCCTGCCAAGCCTAAAATACTTATTATCTTGTCCATTAAGAAAAAGTTTGTTGCCTCCTGAGTTATGTCCTAAATTAATGTCAAGGAGTGTTGTGATCGTTTGACCCTTTTAAATATAGCATTTGATCACATCTTAGCTCTTTTCCAAAGTTGGCAGCTTGACAGTTTATTTTCCCTATGTAGGCTTTCACATCACCACTTTGTGGACTTGAATGATGTTATTTTAAGGCATAAAAAAAGTATTAAAATGATAATGACAGGAAGTTAAAATACCAGCAACAGTGGTCACTAAAATTGCTCATAAAATTCCAATGCGCAAACACAATGAGGTAGAAATATAGGCATTTCGTTTAGCATATAAAATGGCACTGTGATGTGGCAATAATATGAATGTTGTTTTGCAATTTGCCCAATTTGCCAGCTTTGGGATTTTGTCATTTTCAAAAGATAGTTTGTGAGATTTATACAAATGTGCATGAGGAGACATTATTTAATCACTTCATATCATACCACATTTCAAATGGGCGTAATGTAAATGCTCGTGGAAGGTGACTGCCGTGTACCTGGCAGCTAGCATTAGAAATGCTGCTTTCTAGAACTCTGACCTGTGTATCTAAGTCGGTGTTTGAGAATTAGAAAGTGTAGAAGGTGCTTTTGTCATGAGCCAAAATGCAGGCGCATAAATCTCACTAACCAAGATGCTTGTGGCATTGCTGCTGACGCATTCATTTGATAGATTTTTGATTTCCTGTCATTTTTGAATAAAACAAATAGCTCTGACATCTGTTTGTTCTTGCCGCTGGCAGTCGGGAGACCAGGCTTGGTGAGATTTGATAACATAGCAGAGTTTCTATCACATTGGAATGATTAAGACCTCAATTTGAGCTATATCTTAACTCCTCTCTGAACCAGCTCCTCTGGGTAGTTGGACTTAATAAAATGAGGTGCTTGCTTTGTTCGAAGATCATTAGGAGGTAGAAATGCAATTTCTTCAAGAATTACCCATAGTGATAGAATTCAAGTGACTCTCAAGAGTTGCTTCAGAAAAGAGGGCAAATAAGTATTGATTAGTGAGACGTGTTTATGAGGTGATAAAGCCTGTTTGCTTTCTCTTGCAGGGGAATTGTATCCATGTCTGCTTTTTTCAAGAATCACTTCTTGGCCACAGGAGATACCGTTTCTGGAACATAGTGTTGAGGACACAGTGTTGGCAGCTTAAAGAAGAGAAGACCTTCCTGCCAGGACACAAAATGATACACTCCCCTGAGAGCCTTCAACTAGTGGGCATGGGGATGACAGCTTCAGCTGGTTTATGTCACAGTCACCTTATGATTATACAAACAGGGAAAAAAGTAGAGTAAGATGACATTCACCTTTCCCTGGATGTCCTGCTGATTGTCTGGTGATGGTGGCAGGGCAGCCAAGGGCAGGATAAAGGCTGGGTGAGGGTGCTTTTGTCCTCATGTGACCTCCATCACTTTTCATAGGATTCCCAAGAGGATTTTAGAGTAAATATGGGAGCTGAACTTGGCACCCGATCCATAGATGGCCTGGAACAGACAAACATGCACCAGAACTGTGTCGAGGCTAAGCCATATTTATAGCGATGTCTGAGATTCTCAGAAATCTGAAGACTTTGGTTTTTATCAAAAATACATAATTTCTATTAGTATACCTAGTAAACGAATGTGAATGTGATTTGGTCTTCTCAACGAACATGGGGTGGAGAGTGGGAAGGTAGGTTGTATGTAACCTTGGCTCCTACTAACTTACTCTGTGATGTGCAGCAAGTCATTAACTTCTCTGTTTTTTTTTTTTTTCCCATGCAAATGAGGATAATTGGGCACAGGTCTTTCTGCCTGTGAGTTGTGATAATTGAACAAGGTGTGAAGACCCCAGGTTCAGAGTCAGTGGACCTGGAATTGAATTCAAATGCTGCCACCTACTAGTTCAGTTACCATGCACATAATTTTAAATCTCTCTCTCTCTCTTTTCCTTCTTTGCTATAGGGCATGTAAGCTCATCAGACACACACACACACACACACACACACACACACACACACAGAGGGAAAGCAGAACCCCCACCTCCCACCCCAGAGGAAATTACCAAATAGCAATCCCTTCTCCATTCTCTTCTTGGGATTTTGGGCATGAATGCACACGCGCCTGGCATGTTTTCAAGCCACTGTGTCTGGGACTTGAACTGTGCATTTGGCCATGTGGAATCTAGTTGCCTTAATGTCCATGCCACTTGCTGGCCCCATAATTTTAAATCTTTCTTAAGCTTATTTTTTTAATTTGTAAAACAAGGGGATATAATTGTATTTGTGCAGTTGTTGGACTGATTTGAGATCATGTATATAAAGTAGCCAGCATACTGCCTGGTGCATAAGATGTTCAGTAAATAGAAGCCATTATTATTTTGTGAAACCATTTTGGAAATGTGCTTTTCAACTATAATGTAAAGTGGTATTACTGTTTGAAAATTAGATGACAGTAGTTGGCATTTTCCATGATTGGAAGCCAAAATATAAATGCACACTACCTAACAGAAGGTTTGGAGAAAGGTAATAATTTGGAATTCATCTTCTTAAGATAAAAATGGGGCCATTACTAGAAAGTCTTGGGGAAATTTTTCTTTTTTTAATATTTGAAAATTTTTCCATTTAGCACATTGATGAATTTCAAAGCAATTGTACTTTTTCATACAAGCCTGCCACTGTGAGCCTCCTCTTATTATATTTGAGCTATTTGTGCTGCCTGAGTTTTGTCTTTAGGATAATTTTCCTTCATTTCCTTAGTGTTTCATTCTTCGATTGTTTTGGTAGGAAAATGAATGGTAGAAACCAGAACACTCTTTGAATCTTTTCTAGTTTATAAATGGTATTTGATAGGCTTTTGGAGTAACCCTTTTTATAAAAAAAAAAAGAAAAAAAAAAGAGGTAATGTGAATTATTTTAGTGTTGAGAAGCAAGAATTTGTATTTGGAGTTTGACATTGGGATAAACTGAACCCTTCATACTCAACAGCTTACATCCTGTGAAGGCAGGAATTCCCAACCTTGGCCATCCATTGGGATTACCTGGGGAACTTCACGGAATACCGATGCCCAGGCTGTGCTCCAGACTGAGAAATCCGAAATTCTGGAGTTGGCAACCAGGTATAAGTAGTTCTTAAAGCTCTCCAGGTAATTTCAATGGGCAGCTGAGGTTGAGCACACCACAGTGGATTCTAGGTAATTTGCAGACATTAATTTCTCAGCATTGCTGAGGTGGGAAATAGAAAGAGTGGTACACATTGGGGCTGAGTTTCTGCCTTGATTACTTGAAGCTGGGTGACCAATGCAAATGCCTGCAAGGATATGGCAGGTGGTCTGATGAATGAAGCAGGCTGGCGACCACTGGAGAGACCACCCCCCCAACCCAGGAGTTCATGTCTGGCAGAAGATGGGCAGGTGCCATTCAGCTCCAACACAGTGTGGTCCTGTGGCTGACTTGTCCAGTTCTTCCAATTTCCAATTTTCTAGAAAAAATTATATATATATATATATATGTTTAAATAAATCTCCCAATTTTTATATGTTGTCAACAAATTTGCAATTGCTCAAAACATTGAGCAGGTCAAACAAAACATCTTTGCTAGCCAGTAGTTTCTAGTCTCTGCTTCAAGAGTGTTAAGAACCAGCCTAAATATCCTAGCCAATTTTTAATAGACTTACATTTTGTATTCTGGATGTAGGCTGCATTCTGCCTTTCCTCCAAGACTACTTTTAGATGTATTTTCTTCTCCATTTCCAAATCTGGACTTGCATCAGACACTTTTCCTTACTCAGTATCCCTCCCAGCCCACGGTGGGCATCTTGCTTCAAGCTTCACATGTACAAGGGGTCTTCAAAAAGTTTGAGAAATGTGCATGAGGAAAATAGGACGCATGGATTTCAAAAAATTTTGGCACCAAAATAAACTCGTACTTTAATTCTGTTTTCCATACATGTTTAGAAGTTTTCTCATACGGTTTAGAAAGCTTGTAGACTTTTTAGAATTAGTTAGGGCTTGTTAGATTTTTAAAAATTATGTTTTGTGATAAAATGTTTAGAAACCCATGTTTAACTTGACTACTGTCAAGTGTGAGAAATGTCAAAATCAGAGGCACATTCTTCTGGAGCATACTCGGAACAAGAGTGGGAAAGGATACGTTCATACACTGGGCCAGCCTCCTGCTGACCAGATGGCTGAGTGTACACCTCAAGGCGCTGATTTCCTTTGTGATTCTCAGACTTTCATCTGTACCAGGAACCCTTGGGGAGGTGTGCTAACATGCAGGTGCCCAGGCCCCTCCCCCAGAGATTCTCATTCATGCAATTTCATTTGGGACTTTTTATCTGCATTTTAAAACACATTCTCTTAGAGATTTTGTTGTGCTGTTCCATAGATCATATTTGGAGAAACAGTGATTTAGGGGAGTTTTTGTTTGTTTTTGTAAGAGGTTTTTGCCTTAGGGTGCATGTGCTCACGAGAGAGAGAGAGAGAGAGAGAGAGAGTAATTGGGGAAGTGAGAAATCACTCCCCATGGGGGATGGCCATGCTGTAATCTCTCCTCCTCCATTCTCCTTCAGGAATCTTGGACACACATGTGCACACACCTAGTGTGATATTCAAGCTACTGGGTCCAGGACTCCAACCACATGTGGGATTCGGCCATGTGGGAGTCCAGCGACGTAACCACTACACCATCTGCTGGCCCCTAGAGGAGGTGTTTTTGGGCTTTGTGTTTTCTGTTCTTTAAAAAGATCTTGCAGTCAGTTGAGTGCAGTGATCAATACCGTTGGTCATTTAGGACACAGTATAAGGGGACTTCAACATGCTCCTGAAGAGAATGGAATTAAAGTATGAGTTTATTTTGGTACCAAGGAATATAGAAATTCATAATACACATCTGCTATGCCCTTTTTGAAGACCCTACCTGTGGAGTTCTTGCACAGAGAGAAGCTGACTTAAACTATTGCTATGTGATTGAGGTGCTTTTACCAGGAAGGAGCTTTTATGGTTTCAATCACATGTAGAGGAAAAAGGTGCTATCTTCTTTTTGTATGAATTACCTTGTATATTTTATAGGCAGCATATATGTATGGATATCCCTCTTATCAGACATTGTGGGGTATATGGTGTAGACAACTCAAGGTTGTTTCTTTAAGTTGCACGTGTCTTTTGCTTTATTTCAGCTATTTCCATGGAACTGTTTGGTGACTTAATACACATTTTCCTGCTTTTGGAAATGGAGGCCACCGTAGATAAAATGAAGTCTTTTCAGGGTCATCATTTATGTTTTTTATTCTTTCAGGTCTTACTTCATTTTGTTAAAGCTCCTGCACTAAATGGCCCCAGTGTGTTTGCTCTTGAGTTCCAAGTGGTTTTCAGAATTTTTCTTTTCCTTCTCTGTTCTTGGTCATTTCTCTCTGCCGTTACTGTCCCTGCCTCTAAAAGCCTCCCTCTAATTTGCTATGGGCTTGGGAAGTCATGTAACCGCATACTCTATGTTGAGTTACAGTAAACAGGATCTGAATGAGGCTTTTCTCACAATAAAATGAATGAATTTTGCTGTATTGACTTGGGGACATTATTTAGTGGCTCAACTACTTTTTTCCAACTTACTTTCTGACCCTCAATTACACTTTGTCAAATCTGTGGCCTCAAGATAAGTGAGATGTTTCTGAAAATCATTTCTCTTGATTTAAATCATTGTCATAAACCATTGTCTCCAACACCTGTGTTAGTGTTTATATATATATATATATATACATACACACACACACATACACACACACACACACACACACAGTTCTATAATGTGAAACTTAAGAGAGTTAAAACTCAAATGAAAATTTCTCAGGCTAAGTTTTTATGCAGGATAAAGTGTTTTTGATTCAATGTTACTGTGGTTTAGAGCTATAAATTAGTTGTGTACCTCTGAGATCCCCTACTGCAATTATTCTAAAATAAAGTTGATTTAACTAATATTTATGTGTGAATTCTAAATTCTTGGGGTTATCATGTTTCTCAGCGTAGCCTGTGTTTATCATTGTTAGTTCTGATCCAAGTTTTTTTCAGCTGGTGTTATACCAGTTATTAATATATTAGTCAGCATTCTTGAAATAGAACCAATAGGATACATATATAAAAAAGGGGATTTATTAGAGGAATTATCTCACACGATCACAAAGTGGAGTCCCACTATAGGCCATCTACAAGCTGGAGAAGCAACCTGAAGACGCAGAACCAGGGAAACCAGTAGTGTAGCCCTAGTCCAAGGCTAAAGGCTTGAGTGTCCTCAGGTGGCCAGATTTCAAAAGTTGAAGAACCCAGAGTCTGGCTGGAGGAGTGAGCCAAGCACCTGTGGAAACCAAATGTAGCCAGTGGATGAGTCATGAAGCAGAGGTGGGTTGGGGGATGTTCAGGTAGCAGGAAGAGAGCACCTGTTTTGCTCTCTGGAAGGAAGAACAGAGGAGACGGAACCTCACTTCCCTTGTTTGTCCCTCCCAGGTGCCCAATTGGATGGTACCCACCTATGTTAAGAGTGGGTCTTCCTATCTCAGTTCGTTGACTCACATGCCAGTCTTATCTGGAAATATATTCAGCAAACAATGCTTCACCACCATCCAGGCATCTCTCAA